GAGAGTGTTTTAATGTAGTCGTCAGCTTTGCCAAAACATCTCATAAGTGTTTAGGCTCTCCATTTTCAACTTAAGTTTTTGTTTCTAAGGAATTTATACATTTAATACTCGATAATGAATAAAATATTACCATAATTATTAGCTACTCAGTGTTCAGTGGTTTCTTTTCCAGTGTCTATTTCTTTTTCTGTTTCATTTTTAGTTTTCCTGAGAATTATTTTTCCAAGAATCAAGTCTTTACTTTATTGATTTTCTTTGGTGTTTGTGTACTGTTCTCTTCATTAATTTCTCCTTATTTTCATATTCTTTTGTTCTTTGTTGAGTATGAGTTTCTCATCTTATCGAATCACTGCTTCATTACCTTCTTAAAGACAGGTTTGAGATTTCTTTTCTGTCCTGTCTATTTTGTATTAAATTATGCAATGCTGTAGCTAAATAACAAAAGTTCTGACACTGTATACTCTATAAATTCAACTTATGAGTACACTGAACTTGCCATGCATCCTAGAAAAGGTGAGCTTGGGTATATAGTTTATTTTCTTTCTAAAAGAATGCCCAGTCCTCAGTATTTGTAGCACAGAACCACCTAACAGTGTTTCTACTCTACATCCATACTTCGCTGCTAGCTGCTTTTCCCGTGGGATACTGAATGAGATGTCAGCATATTTATTAATATTTTAACTTTAGCTTTATATTTTAAACTTCATTATTTCAGTTAATATTTATCTGAAAGTCTTATTTTGCTTCTAGTTTGGAGAAAACTATCCAAGTGTAAATCCTAGGGAGACAGGTGTAGCGTCATCGTCGTCTCCACATTCTCCTACTTTTACTCAGCACCTCAGCACTATCATTTTGTGACTTTTTAAAATTTAATTTTAAATTTTGTTTGTTTGGTTTTTCCTAAGGAAAGATCAATTTTTTTCTCAAGGCTGATTTTTTGAGGCATGCGCATCACTGTAAAATCTGGTTATTCATTCTTTTCTCTTTGTCTTTTGTTGTTGGTTGATTATGAAATTCCTGGGTATAATTTTATGATTTTTCCGGATTGCGGTATATAAAGATTCCTGAAACTTTGAGTTGGTATCTTCTAGTTTTGGAAAACCTGCCATTATGGGATCAAATATAAATTCTTACCCATTCTCTTTTTCTTTCCCATGTGGGAGCATAATCATAGTTGGTAAAGTACTTGATTGTAGCCACTTGTTTCTGCACAGCGCTCTGGGCTTGTTGGTCTTTTCTGAATTCCATTCCATTTTCCTCTGTGTATTATAATGTGGCTATATTTTTGTTCAGTTTCATTTCTGATCATTAACTTTATTTTATTAATGACTTTGTGCGAGAGAGAGAGAGAGAGAGAGAGAGAGAGAGAGAGAGAGAGAAAGAGACATATGGGGAGTGACTGTAGAGGCCAGAAAAGAGTCAGATGCCCTGGGGCTGTAGGTAACAGGTGGTTTTGAGCTATCTGACTTGAGCAGTGGAATCCAAACTTGGGTCCTCGGCAAGTGCTCTTAGTCACTAAGCCATCTGGCCAGGCACCAAATTATTTCTTATGTTTAACCCATAGAGAGTGAGACATACCATTCACAATGTTTTTTTCCTTTTTCTGTAGATTTAAATTCTGTTTTCACCTCTATATATTTGAATGTCTTATAATGGTTATTTTAAGAACTACTTATAAATTATCATCTGTTATTTCCATTGATAGTTTTTTCTGTTGGTTATTGGTTATATTTTTCCTCATTCACCTAAATTTTAAATATATATTGTGAGAGACTGATCATTTCAGTGTAGTAAAAATTAATTTGGGTCAGAGATAGGAGACATTTTTTAAAACTTGGTCCACACTTGGTTTCAAATATTTTAAGCTATACCCGCCTTGTGTTTATTTCAGGATCTATTCTTGTATGACCCTGAGATGCTGAAAATTCTGTAATGCATTTCCATCCCTCTGCCTTGTCTTATAGCTGTGTAGAGCAGTCAGTGATAATTTCATAGGAGGAGACAGCTGGGAGCTTTGGGTTCCCCTAGAGTTCAGTCAGCCCAGCTGGACTCTTATTCCCCTATGTGCTCTCTTTACCTGTTAAAAATATGATTCTTGGCTTGAATCTGGACTTACCAAATGCTCTTGATACAACAAAATTACACAGACTCATTCAGTTCTCTCATTTATAAATTAAATATGGGTTTAAGAATTTTGTGAGGTTTTTTTTACTCAGTGAAGGTACTGACCTGCTGCGATTATATTTTACTCAGCAATATCTTTTCTTATACAATAGGCCTATGTTGTAGAGCTATTTGTAAATATTTTCAAACATCTTTATACAACTTTGAAAAAGTAACAGTGAGCTGGATTTCTCTCTCTGGGTACACTGGAAAAAAGTCCAAGAATCTTGATAAATGAAAGTAGACATGATATAATAATAAGGATTATTGGCCTTTCTTCAAGAAACACATACATACCATGGGAATCAAGCTGTAGCCATCTGTCTGGTTAGCTGATATGATCTGCATGGGCAATGCAACTTGTCTTTATCTCCCCCTGATTCAGAAAATAACTGTACAGACACAGTCTGAATTAAGTCTCCCAGTCCCCAAAGTACTAAAACCTATCTTCCTCAGTATTACATGTCAGAAGAGACAAAACCCAGCATTAGAAGGCATCTGGAATTTACCCAGGGTTTGGGATCATGTACTTATATTGCCAAAGGCCAGGGTAAGAACTCATTATCTTTTCCATCCCATTTTACTGGAATAAATGGTCTTTTTCTTTGACTTTGGAAAAGAAAGAAGGTGTTTGTCTCCTGTTAGTAACTGGAGAAAATTCATTGTGCTTTCCTACTCCGTTATGGGATAAATACGGATGCATGTATAGAACATAGACTCAGATCACATCACATGCAAATCCAAGGTGTGCTGTGAACATGATGCTTTGCTGTGATATTACTTTGGTTGTTGAACTGCTTGAAATGTCAATTAAGCAGTCATTGTTCCAACCCAGGCAACATGTTCTTTGTACACTTGTGGGCACACATTTATGTACATGCATGTACATGTGTATACATGTGGGATGATATCAGATTCTTCACAGTTCTCTCAAAACTGTTAAGTAGCACTTAAAATCATACATTTTAATTAAAACACAATCAATTTTTACACAAAATGAAAATTATTTTTGTGGCTTGACTTATTTTTCCTGAATGCATATTTATTTACTTGTTCAATGAATATTTTTATATTAACATTATATATCAGTCCATATCTGGATTCATTGGTAAAGAAGACAAATATGATCAAAATCCAAGATGAGCAACTCAAGTTTATGAGTTCAGTCCTCAGAATCCACATAAAAATAGCCAGGTGTGGCCGTGCGCACTTAGAGTCCCAATGCTGGTCAAGTAGAGACATGACAAGTTCCAGGTCAGTGAGAAACCCTGTTTCCCCTACCAAAAAAAGTTGGACAAGGATACCTGAGGAACAACATTTGAAGTTGTCCTTTTACCACCACACATTTTCACACACACATATATACACAAAAAGACAGTGTCTGAGTTAGTTTATATGTGGGCACATATGTTCATGTTGGCAAATGTGCCTATGCAGGTATGCACATACACACCACTTGTGATGCTCTCAGTTGGAGATGATCACAGAGAACACAGGAGGACTGCACACTATTTCCCTGTACATACTTATTTATAGTCTCTCAACAAATAGCTAAGTGATGTTCTAATAACTATTGTCAACTAAATACAGTACTCAAAGTACTTCTCTATAAATATATTGTTATGAAGTCATGTATACTTCATATTCATTTAATAAGAATCTCAGATAGAAACTTAATTACAGGTATTAACAAATCCTCTTTCATAAGCTGTTTAACTCTCAAACATTAATGCTATTTGAGAAGCCAATCAAGAATCATTCTGGTAAATGTAAATCCAAACAGCTAGTGAGGTGTAACCTCTGTTACACTCTGCGTTTTGTCTATTCAAATGTAGATTCCATGGGATAGACTTTATACTATTCCTGAAAAAACAGATATGTGTAAAGAGTGTATGGGGCTAATGAGGTGTCTTAGTGGGTAAAGGTACTTGCCACTAAGTCCAATAATCTGACTTTGATCCCCAGGACCCATAGTGGAAAAAGAGAAATGATTTCCGTAGCACTCGTTCTGGCTACCTCTCACATACTGTGGATTACGCATGCTCATACATATACACATGTGAACACACAATAAATAAATGAAAATTTAATTAAAAATAAAACATAAAAAACAACTTATGAAAATTAATTGAATTCATTAGAATAAACTGAATATTTGCAATGATATGTTCCAATCCTCCCCAAAGTGTTTATTACTGATAGATTTATGTTATTCTGGAAATGTTTTCCTTTTGGGAAGGGTCTCACTATGTGTCCAAAGATAACCCTGAACTCCTGATTCTGTCTCTTATTCCTAAGTGGTTCAGTTAGAGACATATACTCCCATGCCTGATGAAACTTCATGCTATTTTTGAGACTAGACACTAATTATTTTCCAGCAAAGATATATATGTGTGAGTGTGTGTGTATGTGTTTGTGTGTGTGTGTGTGTGTGTGTGTTATAATTGGAAACAACTTTTAACTTCTAGGAAATACATATACAGAAATTATATTAAATTCTACCCATGATATTAGTATAGCAAAGACCTCTAGGTGGTTAACAAGCGTGCATACATGAGTGAAGTCTAAGCATTATTTTAATCTAGATGACAATAGAACAAAAACTTGCCCTGCTGATTCTGTTTTTTTTTTTTTTTTTTTTTTTGCAATTTGAAATAACAGGACTTGAAGAAAACTATTATTATAAAATAAATTATTATAATGGTTTTGTGCTGAAGAAAACATCTCTGGACAAAAAGCATTAGAGTTGCTTGGGATGTGATCATTTAACATGAAGCAGAGAGAGGAGGGGCAGGTTTCCACTGATGGTGGAAATTCAGTCAGAAAGTGTTACGTACCCAGAACTTTTCTGTTCTCCCTTGTGCACCTCTCAATGTTCCCCATCTGCAATAGCAATGATGAAAAATATGATTGCAACATTTGCTTTGACCTTGAGAACAGGAAGTGTACTGCCACTCCCATGGCTGAAATGTTACCGCTGTTCTCCAGAACTGAACTTGTATAGTTTTCTCCTTTGCTCTCATATTATTTACGAAAACAGAATAGAATCATCTTTATCCAAGCAGCACTGACTAAAACCCACAGAGGGAGAGAATCTCCAAGGTAACAGGGTACAGAAATTTTAAAGGCATCTCCCACCTTTTCATAGCCCTCTGAAACTCTACCATAAATGGACCACACTAAAAATTTCTAAGACAGCTGATACAAAATATAATAGAAATATAAATAACTGTTGTAGATGAGGAAGTTCATATAAATGTTCACATATAATTAATGAAGTACTAATATTTCTAATTTCTGTATGTACCAATACATGTAGAAATTCTAGTTCTCAGTAGCTTAACCTCCAATATTTTGTGTTTTTCTGTTAAATAAGCTCATGAGGTGGGAATATTTCACATACTCTATGGAATGCGATAACTGAGGGTTGTTTGCGACAAGCAGTCTTCCTTGCTTTTCACTTCCTACAATACACTAGCTGTCTCTACACTCCCAGGGACTCTTGTCTCTACCTCCATACTCCTACAGGAGCACTGGGATGGCAGCCTCTTGTGCTATGGCTCTGACTTTTTGGTAGGTCTGGGTATGCAGAAGATAGAGGCACCTTACAAGAAAATCTATACCATGAAATAGACACCATGTTTTTAAATAAATCCTCTTAACATACCCTTTAGGGCTCTCAGAAATATTGTGATATGTTTCAGGGAAATGAAAATACACATTTACAAGTGGAATTAAAGTTCAGCAGTATCAGGCTGGGAGTGGTGGTGCACACTTTTAATCCCAGCACTTAGGAGGCAGAGGCAGGTCGATCTCTATGAGTTCAAGGCAAGCCTGGTCTATATGCTGGGTTCCAGGACAGCTGGAGCTATAGGGAGACTCTGTCTCAAAATAACAAAACAAAACTAAAAATCAGCAGTGCAATGATCACACATTCAAAACATTGCCTCACAAAGATTAAGAGGTAATTACTGAAAATATTCCCTTATTCTGGTTTTGCTAAACAAATTAAAAGTGAAAGAAATTGCCTTAGCTTTCAGACTCCTAAGACATACGAATTGTGCCTTTATTTTTGCTCACTTGGCAGCGTTTTTCAGTGTGCGTCTATGTATATTTTGTTGTGATTATCAAAAAAATTTCAATTTTATGAAATGAAGCAATAATTATTATCCCTCAAATATAAAGGCTTCAAAATTGTTCCAAATATCTTCTTAATAAGTATGTTAATTATAACTTTAATGTCCAAAATATCAGTCATGGCTGTTCCTGGTAGTGTAGACCTGTACTCTTCACTCTTCAAGAAAGAGGCAGAAGGGCAACAGATTCAAAACAATTGTAGGCAATCTGAGTGAGGCACTGTCTCAAAATGGAAAGAAGAGATCTGAAGGTGTAGCTCAAGGGCAGAGTGTTAATTTAGCATGTCTGAAGCCCTTGGTTCAATCTCTGCTATCACAAAAATAATAAATAAATAAATAAATAAATAGCCTAATAAACCAACAGTTATTTTAAATAGAATGCTACTATGCAGATTAGAATAAACCTTCTCAAAATTGGCAGCAAAGACAATTCATATTAACTTGCTAGAAGTAGGAGAGAGAAGGGAAAGTAGGGCACCTGAGCTGAGTAATTTTTTAGAGTGGGAGGGTTTGAAATACTATTTTAAATGGAATGTTAACCTCTACGCAGAATTCAAATGGAAATAAAATACCACATAGAAAAATAATGCCACTATAGGACTGGAGAGATAGCTCTGTTGTTAAGAGCACTGGCTGCATTGCAGAGTGCCTGGGTTCTCTTCCCAGCACCCACATGGCAGCTAACAACCAACTGTCAGTAACTCCAGTTCCAGGGGTGGTGATACCCACTTCTGGCATCTTCTGGTATTGTGTGCATGTGGTGCATTTGTGTTCATGCAGGAAAAACACTCATGTACATCATGTACATAAAATAATAACAGAAAATGAAATCATTATAAGTAGTATTCCTTGGTTAACCTATGCTACAGTCTCTGGGTCAAATAAACAAAACCTATTTACACAATTCAGCATTTACATTGTGACCTTCATCTATCTTTTCTCTTTTTGATCTTCTCCAGAGGATTGCTAAGATGGTAATCAAATATCCTATAGAACTGTAATGGGGTGTTTTCTAAGTATGTCTGTGCCTTAAGAGACTAAGAAGAATCACTTTGAACCAAATGATTTTTCACTGGTATTACAGCAAATTCACAAGGTTAAAATCTTCATTCAAATAAGGCTAAGCTATTATTCATTACTGGAATTTTTACCTTCCTGATTTATGGAGAACATTTTCCCTAATACATGCATGCTGTTGAATTGTCATAACATACTTTGTTGTACCATTATACCAATAGGCTGACAATTTTAGAAATATGCACGCATTTCAGAAATGTTCTCTTGCAAGTCAGTGAACATCACTGGAGGCATGAGAATGTTTGTTACATTCATATTATCTGTAAGCATAACTATTTTTGAATTTCCATTCAAGTCCTTCATTTTAAGGATACTTTATAAGCATTTGTTCAAACAGACCAGAATCTTACTCGGCTGAAATTTTCCATGACATTACTTATCTAAACTAAATTATATATTATGTTGACAAACTGGAGAGCTCCTAACACGAAGTTTTCTTGTCTTAAGGCAATCTACTTAATCTCAATTGTGTATTGTTCTTTTTAATTTTATCTACATAATTAAAAAACTGTTTCAATTATTTAAGGATAATTAGTATTTTTTTCTCTCAAAATTTATTGAAAATTTTGAACATACTGGTTTGGAAAACTCTGGGCAGCTTTCACTCAGTGTTCACAGACATGAAGTCTTTCTCCAGGCTTCATCTTGTGTTTATAGCTTTCTTTAATTAATATATGATAATGTATATGTTTATGGCATCCAATGTGATGCGCCAACATGTGTATACTTCATGACTACATGAGGGTAATTAGCAGGTCCGTCACTTCAAACATACATCGTTTCTTTACGTTAAGGTAAGCATACCAGCAGTCTTCTCCTTTTTAGCTATTTTGAAATAGAAAACACAGTATGTTAGGTTAGCTACAGTATCATACTGTTAAGATTTAATGGGTGCAGCTTCCATCATGTCTAGAATGCATTTTGTAACAATAGGCATCCTATTGCTCTGGCTGGCTCCTACAATCTTTCCACCCACTCTTCTGCAATGTTCCCTGAGCCTGATGTGTCAGAGTTGCATAGTAGATATATGAATTGGGGCTGGGCACCCCACAGTCTGCATAATGACAATTCCAGTTGATAGGTCAATGTGGATTGGGAAAATTTCACAAAGTCCCACCTCTAAATGAAGCGCTACAGGCAATTAATGGATGCTGAGTGAGGAAGAGTGAGTTTTCACTAAGGGTCATCTCCCTGATAGGTTATCTAATCCCAAATGGTCAGCCCTAAACACATGGACTCTGTGAATTTATACATACATATGTATACAGAACAATGATAAACAAAGAGGAGGAAAAAACTTGCAAGGGAGTGAATGAGAAATGGGAGGAGCTGGAGGCCAGAGTGAGAGGGGTGGGCATGATGCAAATACAACATTCATCTATGAAATCCTCAAAACATGTTCAAAAAGAAAATATAACATGGATAGTCATCTTGTGAAATCTAATGGTAGAAATTATATCTTTAAATATTTTTTTACCTCAGTAACTTGTCTCAACCAACCCCACAGTAACCATTCTTCCCAGTATCCATATACTCACTTTTAAATATTTCTTGATGCACACTTCTTTTATATAATATAAAGCTGCTGGGAGTGGTGGTGCATGCCTTTAATCCCAGCACTTGGGAGGCAGAGGCAGGTGGATCTCTGTGAGTTCAAGGCCAGCCTGGTCTATAGTGAGTTTCAGGACAGCTGGGGCTATAGGGAGACCCTGTCTCAAAAAATACAAAAAAAAATTATTAAAAGACTCTCATGATTCTCCAGCACTATAAAAGCCAGCCAGTAGAGATGAAGCTTTGATGTCAGTGCCAGCTTGATTTATTCTTGTTTTCCTCGTGAATGTAGTGTCTTTAGGAATAAAGTTTTATTGTCAAGTTCTGGTGAGTAATCAAGAACAGGGCAATGGCCAGTGTTGTTTTAGGGTCCATGGGATTGTGGTCAACAGCTTTCAAAGAGGGAGCCTATCCTGGCATTTCACTTTGGTAGCCTAAAGTTCCTAGTAAGGGCAATGCATGCTTCCAGAAAAAAAAAAATTAACCATTAACCTTATTCAACTTTGAATGCTTCACCTTATCCAGCAGTGAATCCTGCGTGCTTCAACAACAATTGGTCTTGCAAGAAATGTCTCTGGTACAATGGCATGAATATTATGGAAGCAATAAACTACTTTGAAATTGGATCTAAGGTACACTTCATAAGATGGAGCCCATTCCTGACATTGATATCATACCTAGAATCGTGTGGCAGACAGGTCATAGAGCATAGAGAAGAGCCTACTACTATTATTCTATGAAATAGATATAGTATTAAAGTGACTCTAAATGATTTATTGCTACACCAATAGCTTGATTTCTCACCAGAGAACTTTCCATATGCATCAGATGGTGATTAACACAGAAACCCACAACTGGACAATGCACAGAGTGATTATCCCCAAATAGGACACCTAATCAAATTTCTACCTCCTGAGGCTGATTGTGGAAGAAGAGGCTAAAAGATTTTTAAGAGCCAGAGGTAGTGAATGATGACAAGGAGACAGAATTTTTCAGACTGCTGATCAGTTACTCATCACAGCAATGTGACAGCATGCACAAGTCCCACAAGCTGATCGTGAGTATCCCCCTTGGCATACCTCCCACACCTTGTCTATGTGATGCCTCTAGGTAGAAGTG